AAGGCCCTCCCGAAAGGGTTCTTTGCTAAGGCTCAGCCTGTTGCAACAAATCTTTGCTAGAAATTTCTAGTCCAATGGACAGGGCATCTAGATGGTTCTTGTTTCTCTGAGGTCTTTAAAGCCTTCAAAGCAGACAAACAGTCCATTTTCCCAAGCAAGTTGTCCAACATCTGTCTCCCAGGGGGCAGTGTGGATTTATGAAGAGGACAAGTTTCCTGCTTCCAAAGATATTCCAGCCAAAAGAGGTGCTTCCAAATAATTACGCTGTTTTTAAATCTAAATCCTAATAACGTTCTCCCCCTAGATTTCCCCCTGCTGTCAAGTCGATCCCAACCCGAACCATAGCGACCCTATAGGACAGAGTAGAATTTCCAGGGCTGTAAATCTGTATGGACACAGGCTGGCACAGCTTGAGCAGCTGTGGGGCTCAGATGACTGAGTTTTTGGTTAATAGCTGGGTGCTTAACCACTGTTGCCGCCAGGGCCCCTCCCCTTAGATTGCCAAAATACAACTGTTGTTAAGTAGGAGATATGCTTGAAAGCTCAGCTTTAATTACTTTGAGGCATTCACAGTCCAATGGGAAACTGCATACAAATGAACAATTAAAATGAGATAATTACTGTCATGGGATGAGCCAAGTGCCTGCCTAGAGATTGCACACAACCTCCTGGAAAACCAAACTAGAACAAAACAAAACCATCATGATAAAGCCTAACGATCGGGAAGTGCTTGCTGTGTACCAGGTGGCTGGTCTGTTAGCTCACTCACCTCAATGTATGGAAAGATACTATTCTTCTTTGGCAGCTCATGCAGCTGGGGCATAAAGGTCAAGTCGTTTGCCCGAGGGGCTGCCCAGATGGTGCTAGGCAAACTGTCATCCTACTGACTCATAGCGACTCCCAGCGACCCTGCAGAACAGGGTGGAACTGTTCCTGAGGGAAAGGGAAGGCGAAAGCTGCACCTTTCTCCCAAAGAGCCGCTGGTAGCTACAAACTGCTCACCTAGCAGTTAGCTTCCCAACCTGGAACCCACCAGATCACCAGGGCCAGGAACGCAGCCCAGACCACCTGACTCCAGGGTCTGACCCTCAGCCACTCCCCAGCCGAGAAGGATGGTGTGTGAAGTTGACAAACTGGTGCTCCTTAGTAGGTTTGGGGTTTTAAGCTGTGCGTCTAATTCCGCATGATGCACATTCAAACAAACCAAAAAGACCTCATTAACGTCCACTTGACATGACTCACGGTGACCGTGTGTGACAGCAGAAGGGAGCTCCGGGGTGCTCCTTTGACGTCAATCCCTATAAAAGCCCATCACCGGGACTGTCTTACTTTGAGGCCTAAGGTGCGCCTGACCTGAGCCATGCTATTTTATTTTATGTTTTCATGAATCATTTTATTAGGAGGCTCTTACAGATCTTGTAACAATCCATAATTCAATTGTATTATGTTGTACATATGTTGCCTTCATTATTTCCAAAACATTTTCTTTCTACTCGAGCCCTGTAGCTCCTCTCTTTTCCTTTCCCTCTTTCCCCCACCTTCCCACCCTCATGAATCCTTGGTCAATTATATATTATTATTATTTTGTATCTTACACCATCCATTGTCTCTCTTCACCCACATTTCTATTATTTGTAGCCCCCCCCCGCCCCCCCGGGGGTGTTATATATCCAACCACTACTCCCACTGCTGTTCCTGAGAGGCTTATCTGTCCTATGTCCAGAGTTCTTATCTGTACCTGAGTACATGCTCTGGTCTAGCTGAATTGTAAGGCACAACTATGTCATGATAGTGGGGAGAAGAAACATTCAGGAACTAGAGGAATGTTGTGTGTTCCATTGGTGCTATACTGCACCCTGTTTGAATCATCCCTTCCTCGTGACCCCTCTGTGAGGGGATGTCTAATTATCTACAGATGGGCTTTGGGCCTCCACTCCGACCCACCTCGTTCACATCAATATGTTTTGGATCTTTTGATGTCTGGTACCTGATCCTGTCAATCCCTTGTGATCACACAGGCTGGTGTGCTTCTACCATATGGGCTTAGTGGCTTCCCTGCTAGATGGCCGCTTGTTTAACTTCAAGCCTTTACAACCCCAGACACTATATCTTTTGATATATACCTTTTGATAGCTGGGCACCATCCGCTTTCTTCACCACATTTGCTTATGCACCCATTTTGTCTTCAGTGATAGTGTCAGGAAGGTGAGTATCAAAGAGTGCCAGGTTATTAGAACAAAGTGTTCTTGTGCTTAGGGAGGCCTTGAGTAGTCCCAAAGTTCGTCTGCTATCCTAATATACTTAACATATACGTATATG